AGGGCTCCCTGAAATTTTCCTTAGAGCACAGCCTTGCAAATGACTAGCCTACAGGACAGATGTAATTTTTTTGCATCATTCAGGTGAACAGAGGCAGACAAAAAGCAAGGAGTGCAAAAAAATAACACATGTATGCATACTATTGTTCAAGCTCTTCCCCTTGAGCATAACCTGCATTTTATGTTCACTTCACAATTACCTCCAATCTCCTGAAAAGCACAAAAAAAAATCACACTTGTTCTCCAAGCTACCAAATCACTGATCAACAGTACAATGTTCACAAAGCATTCTTCAACATAGCACTTGATGCACTGTTGTACTGAATCCAAAGATGTAAGTCATGAGGTATGGGTGGACTAGGTGCATTCCATCCAGTCAGTTGGTGAACTAGTTCCTCAGGTGAAATAAATTTTTCTCTCTTATTTCCTTGAACTACTGTATTCTTTGTTAGTGCAACTGCATAAACAAAGCCATCCTCTCCTGTGAATTGCTGCTCTAAATAGAAAGCACTCTCATCCCATGCTATGACTCTTGTTTTCAGAAATACTTTTTGAAAAAGTTCAAGCGATCGCCGATAACGCACACTAGCAGTAGCAATTGTCACACCACACCTACTCTTTCTCATTACACGCATCATTCCACTTGAAATCCACAAATTAATTCTTCCAAAGTCACATTCACGGAGATACCTGAAGTAGACAAAGGCATTAATTTTTTCAAGCAAGAGCTAAATTTTACACCATAGCTAATCAAGAGTTGGTAACAATTCTTTACGACACTTTGCTGGTAATCATGTTCCTGTTATTCACTTTTGATTACCTTACACTGCAAGGAAATTATGTTGGAGGAAGGTCATAGGCTAGCCTATGTTTGTCAAAAATAGTGGTCATTCACAATTTAAGAACAAAATCCTAACTGTTCCCAAATGCCAATAAAATGCTGGCGTATGACCACCCTAGCAGCAGAAGTACCTTTAGTCCCCATAATTCTGTGTTTAAAAGTAAATGATTTCTCTTACAGCTTTCACTTGAAAAAAAAACTTAATGCAGAACACAGAAGAGCATTTACATGAAATCTTTCCTGCTTCCGTACTACCATGTTACTTCAACATCTCTTGTCATTTCATTTTCATGTTGAAAGACAAAGTACAATTTTGCAAGCTACAGGCAGTATTTTAGAAAATCACCAACAAATTTTTTATAAGAAATAACATCCCAGCCAGCATTCTCACTAATTCTTAGAATTTTCAGTCACATAAATTTAATTTCCAGTGCTGCCATTTTGAAGATTTGTCGAACACTCCTGATAATTTATTAAAGTAAGAGAAAGTTAGGTTGTGTCAAGGACATTAGCGCAATACAAACGATTGGAATACATGTACCTAGAAAGTCACATTTTTTAACACACAAAGAAAGTGAAAGAAAAGACAGCTAACATGAATAAAAAGCGAAAGGATCGTCAGTGTTCCAGAAGAAGAAAAAAATGGTAACTGGTTTCGAAAAGATATGTGAGAAAAGGAATGAGGCCTTAATGTAATTATAAAGAGCGCAGAACCTCAAAAAAAATACTAAAATCGTTAATTTAAGATAAAGCGTGCTGCTTCCCCGTCAGAGAACTAAAAAAATTAGTTTGAGTCGAGTTCCTGTTTCAAGAAAATATGGGTTTTTGAATAAATACAATGCCATATTATTTATTCATGATCAAAGACATGATGTTTCCTTTTTGAAACACACTTCCAAATATTCCCCTGAAAACTGTTCATTCATCATGGTTACATATCTCACCTAGCATTGTTCATGTGAAGATTCAAATCAATATCCGACGGAAGGACGATGAAAGTCGTCTCAAATACTTCCAAGAAATCAGGGGACGAAGCTCTACTAAAAATAATCATCCTTCTCAAAACAATCCACGTTACGCGTAGACTCCAATTCACGTCAAAAAACATATAAAGAAGGGGAACTATGAAGGCATATACTCCTAGCAGTCTCCTTAGAAGCACTGCTGTCACAATAATAGCCAGAAAAACCAAAATTAGATTCTTCACTCGCCCCATAACTGCCCACTCCACAGACTGAGCAATTCTCAGATCGCTTTCAGTTGAGAGGACATTAGCCTCGTTTTCAATAAAACAAACTTCTCCTCCCTCTCCCTCGTCCCTGCTCTTCCTTAGTGAAATGCAGCAGCCAAAGGTCGGGCATGTGCGAAGGTATCAATTCTAGCCGGCTGCAGGCAAATATTTCCCAGCGCAAAATTTCAATTTTTCCAGAACTGTCTTTTTGTACAAGAGATGGTCTTTTGCTCTTGAACAAGCACAATTACCTTTTTTTTTTCATAATTTGAGTGTACAGATTATCCTTTTAGATAACAAAAGTTAAAAAAAATAATAACCTGAAGAAATATGGGTATGGTCAAAAGTAAAAGTATGCGAGTAACATGTTTCTCAAGAATGCAAATTAATACCTCAATCATTTATTACTTTGTTCCATACACTCAAGACTTTCTACCGATCAAGCATTGTTTCAGGTGTTACTTCAAAAACCTATGCTTCCAGCTACAACAAAATGTTCTGTGAAATCATGGGCAAATAATACCAGTACAGGCATAAATGGGTAAGATTGGCCCATCATATCTCCTTCCCAAATGCATTGACTTTTTTATTGCAGTTCTCTAGAGACAGATTGATAGGTTTTAATCAAAAGATTAACAAAAAGTGTTTGACAAACTTTATCTCTGAAGAATCGTCTTAAGCCATTAACAAATCAGTTTTTGTTGAAAAATATTGACAACAAAGAAAATGACAGGAGCAACCTAAGTGCTTGGCAAGTCTTGCTTATGCCTCAGCTTCCACTTCAAGGCTGAGCCAGTAATAAACTAGCTTGAAACATCTCTCGTTGTCCAAATACAGCACATCCAACCTTGATTTTCTTCTTGATGCTGATTCTTATCCTGGATGATTTCAAACTTTCTGTTTTTTCTTTCCAACGGCAAAAAACATCCAATCCTATGGTGACACTTCTAAATTTTGAGTATCCTTGTGTTCTTCAACTGCAGTCTGTAAACAAATAAATCAAATGAACCCTTTCACTCTTTAAATCTCATTAGTAATTCTCCTTACTGTCTACCATACAATTCTTATGATGTTAGTTTGGAGAATTTGCTTTTGGATCAACTAATTATCCCCTATTTGATGTTTTTTTTTAAAATTCTGATCACTTGTCTGCTTAGCATTGACAGGAGAAATTTTATTGGTCACCCATGGTAGTTAACAGGTGTACAACATAGTGTAAATGCAAGTTAACCCTTTAACTCCCAAGATCTGATTGTTAATTCTCCCCTGTACCTGCCACAAATTTCCTTGTAAATTAGTTATGAGAACTTGGTGCTAGATCATGAAAGCAGCTTCTACCTGATAAGTTTGAATAATCCCATTACCTGTTTGCTGAAGAATGTATGGATATTGTAGGGAAAAGTTTTATGCTGATCACTTCTGGGAGTGAAAGGATTACTGTGTTGTGTTCTTGGGTATAACTCTACTTTCACAGTGCTTTTCTCCACCTTGGAGACTTCTTATTTTTTGCTTGGTAAGAATAAGTACTATCAATGTTTCAAAAAACTTAATGTAGAGTTGCTTTCACTAATGAGAGTAGAACAAGCCCCAGCATTAAGGGAGCCTTGGAAAAGGCTTGCCTTACAACTTTAACACACAACACATGGTAAATGATCAAGTTAACGCACTGATAACCTTACCTCAAATGTAGCAAGCATGTGTTCACACATTGCAGTGAGTTCTGATAGACCTCTTCTCAAAACATCTACAGCAGGAATACCTAAAACCATAGCAAATGTAGTAATGACAGATCAGGAATAATGAGGCTGATCATCTTTTAATGTAATGACATTGTGACAGTGTGGTTTAGGACTCAATGTGAAGGCTGGAGGTCAAAGATTCAAATGCCCCTGTCTGTCAGTACACAACTGGATTTGTTGTCAGGATTCCTGCTTGGGATTCTCAGAGATAAAATTTGTACTCACACTCTGCCATGTAAATCCATGATCATATCCTACATTACACTTTGTAATTTTTTTATAAATTAGGTTAACTGTCTCAAAAAAATACAGAGGTTCTATATGTAGTAACACGCAAAAAAGTTCTATTTTCAATTTTTGCCTTTACAACACCCACTTACCATTTGTTTGGATTCGGAGATTGATCCTGTTCTCTGATGGATGTGGAATGCTGTACCCACAGAACACTACATCAGGGCTTCACATAAAGGAAAAAGCGAAACATCAATCTTCAAAACTTCTTTCATTTAAATCTTCAGTAATGATTGTAAAGTATAAGTATAGGCAGACGAGAGTACCGTAGTGAAACTTTTAAGAAAACGAAAATAAATAAAAATCAAACGCAACTTCTGAGACAAGACTTCTGAGCAGCAACAATAACTGGTTTTGTACCTTTTTTTGTACCAAAATTATCTGTAGCTTAAATAAGATTAAAAGTCGCCCTACTTTTTCGCGATGATGTATCTCAAAGAATTTCCCAGCGTATGGTCTTCTCCGTGCAAAACAAATGTGACACATGTTTCATCCTCTCCACTGTCTAGGGGCATCTAAAACAGGACCAACGCACCAGCTAACTACGATTTTACATATATGTGATCACAAGTATTTCCATGCTTTATTTTCCTTAGAATCAATACCTACCACTTCTAATCGGCGTAACTGTCCGCCTATTTCAGGATCGGCTCCTTTATCGTCGGCCGCCATGTTGAAATATTTCATAACCCGAGTAGAACAATATAGAGTAGGACAGCGGGAAAACAAGGGTGCTTTGAATACTTCGTGTATTTGACACCATATACCTATCAATGACGTCATTCAATAGGTAAATGGCGTAGATTCTATTTGAAGCATTTCAACGAAAGGAAACTTCAATTTTCACCCAAAACGTAAGGTAAGCTGGGCAATGAAAGATTGAAGTTATTAATAGTTTCTTCAGCTTTATTTTGTGGTTTTTTTAAAATCGTTTTATCTTTTTCTCTCCCACATTTCACAATGTGTAGGGAGTAACTTTTGGGTCTTGAAGCAGTTTTTACAGGCATTGTCTGTGCTGCACTGCATTCAGTTTAGAATTGCGGTTTAAGTAGAGGTTTATGAACTGCTAATTCCCTGTTTCTGTAGTTATGAGCAATCATTAAACAGTGCAGAACTATAATTGGTATTAAGACCTTTATAAGAATCTGGATAAAGGATAAGAATTTGCAACAACATGCCATCCCAATTATATTTCTAGTTCCGTCTACGTTCAGGGCTTGTTAATGCTTCAAGCTTTTTAATTAATTATGATATAAATTCGCATAGATAAAGTAGATATTCCTCAGTGTATACCATTACAAACCTTCCAAAACAGTCAATTACAAGCTAACTGTATCACTTCCAAAAATATCTGTTTCCTCACCTAGGTTTGGTTTGAACTTAGACTTGGAAAGATCTTAAAATGATACTCCCAAGATTTCGATACCAATTCTCCCCAATTTCTGTTTGTCATTTCTCAGAATTTAAGCTATAGGAAAGTAAGAATATGGTGGTAATGGATCAATTTTCCTGGGATGATATTTTTTTTTCTTCTTGTCACCTTTCTGGTGGACAAGGCATTGATCTGGTAAGGACAAATTACTTGTTTGTCATATCCAGGTGGGAAAAGGATTATATGTTGGCATATAAGATATATAAGACTCTCCTACCCCTCCCTCAGAATTAAGAATGGTGCCTCAGGGGGTGGGTACACTTATATAAAAATAAGTTTATCTTAATTTGATATTGGTTTTTATTGTTAAGATACACACAGACTGACTGGTCTTAGGTTATATCATGGCTATCCATAGATGCTTCAATTTCTTAATGTTTCTGAATTATCAAAATTCCAGCAGGGATTTTTGCATGCTTTTCAGAAAAGAGCACTTTTGTTAACCTCACACAAAATAAGAAATTGAATAGGCCATTTTACAGTTGTGTACTTAGTTGCCAAGCCTTTGATTTGGAGTAAGGCTGAAGGTGACCTTGTTGTGATAGAGACCAGTATCTAGTTAGCATGATAACAAAGTAATTTGCATTTGAAAAGCAGCAAGGTTTGTATCATAACAAGGTCACCCTTAGCCTCATTCCTGTTCAAAGGCTTGGCAACCAAGCACACAACTGTAAAATGGACTATTAAAGAACTGGGCTGGGTTGTTCAAAGCTGGGTTTAGTTAACCCAGGGTTAGTGTGAAATCAGATTTCAGTTCTGGAAGCTTTAAAAGAAAATTCAGTATAATTCTTTTTGTCAACAATTTGATGATTGGATGCTCCATAAAGAGAAGAGAAAATGATCCCAAAAAGGCTATCAAACAAAGAAGTATAGAAACCCAGATTAAAATTTAACCCTGGGTTAGCACTAATCAGCTTTCAAAAAACTGGGCTCTGTACTTCAGTGAAAAGTAACCACATTTAGTGTAATTTGGAATGAACAAGCTTGCATACATTTTTCAAAGACTACACATCGCACTTACTTAGACTGGTACATTTTGTAGCCTTTGAAAACCTTACTTGTGCTTTTTTATCAAAATTGCTCTAGTAGTCATTTGATTACCTACACAAATTATTGAAATTAAGTATAGATCTCCTATGATCTGTTTGGTTCTATAGCACTGGTATTCCCCTAACATGTCACATGTCATGTGAAAGTCTCATGTTTGATGGGCAAAAGCATTGAAACACACAAAAAGTTTCTCACCACATGATAAGCATTCTCTGTTTGATAAAAAAGTAGCTTATGTGTAAATAATAATATATGTTTATTTCAAGTTCGATAAATACTTTTTTAGAGTTATCTGTTGAAGTACTGTTTTTATACTTATAATGGTACAATCACCTTTGTTTACAACTAGTCAAATCATCAATAGATGAGTTAAGATATATTGTCTTTGGAAAATCTCGGTGGTTTAATTTCAACAATTTCTTTTCTAAAATGTTGCCAAAGTCAGGTATGCAATGTATTTAATAGATGATTTATCTAACTTAAGGTACATTTAATGAAAAAATTGTACTCTTACATCCAGAATATTCTGATTTTTGAAGCTTAATTTTAATTGCTTTTTAGATTATAGAAGAGCCATGCCAATCTTGTACAGTGTTGTAGCAAGAGGCACAACAGTGTTAGCCAAGTTTGCCTCTTGTGCTGGAAACTTTGCAGAGGTTACAGAACAAATTTTGAGTCGAATTCCGCCAGAGAATTCAAAACTTACTTACACCCAGGGAAAGTAAGTGTCAACAAGACATCAGTAATTGTATCAAAGCAATGTTGCAAGCTTCATGATATAAATCAAATTAGAACCAAACACTTGACCTCTCCTAGAAATTGCCAATTTGCTATTCTTTTATGTTTTAATTAGCCTTTCAAGCCAGCCTTGATGTCATGTTTAAAAAAAAACAATGGAATTTTCATGCAAAAGCGAGGCCAAAAGGGCTAATTTGTCTGCACTTAAAATAATGAAAATCTTTTTTTATAATTACTAAAGAGATCCTTAACCTGACATTGGGTTCACTCATATTATTTCTATATTTAATTGTTTTTTGTTATGAATTTGTGTGCAAGAATTTGGTAATTTTATCAAGCAATATTCCCAAATTGGTGTGTTTGTTTCTTCTGAAAACTTGAATAATTGACAACAGGGAAATGATTTTAAGGAATATCACCATAATTAAACAACTGGGCAGGGACCCTCAACCGTTTTACTCCTAAGATCTCATTAGCAATTCTCCTTACTCTCTGCCATAAAATACTCATGATATCAATTTGGAGGATTTAGTGGTGGATCAACTTTTAGTTCCCTAATTGAGTTTTGTTCTTTATTCTCGTCACTTGTACTCTTGATATTGTATTGGTAATGTAAGGAGAAATTCTCTCTTGGTCACTCATGGGAATCAAAGGGTCAATGAGGACCACTAGGCTTAAGAGCATGTTTTGCCTAAATTGAGTTTTCATAGTATTTGATTTTTAAATTTTGTTATATCATCCTCTTAAATCATTGTGAATTCATTTGGTATTTCAATCTTACAGCTACCTGTTTCACTACATATCAGAGGACAGAGTGGTCTATTTGTGCATTACAGATGATGTAAGTTAACAAAAATAATTTGTGAAAAATTTAACAATCTTTGAATTTCTACATTGCTTCAACTTTAGCCCAAGTTAGCATCTGAGAGGTCCACTAAATGGTTTGTTTATTCTGTCTTTGAATTCAGGATTTTGAAAGGTCCAAAGCATTTCTTTACCTGACAGAGATTAAGAAACGGTGAGCAAGTACTGCCTCTCATGCTTCATTTACCATAGCTTCCAGTATTACTGTATTATTGTTATGGATTAGTGATTTCTCTAGTTTGTCATCACCGTAGTTATGGTGAACTTGTTTGTTTTGTTACAGTTTTCAAAGTGCATATCATGGTCGTGCACAAACAGCACTGCCTTATGCTATGAACAGTGAATTTTCAAGAGTCCTTTCAGCTGAAATGGTAGGTATACTGTTCATTCCATCTATTTTCAGCCTTAACGATACACACATTTTTTCCATAAAGATATTTTTATTCCAATTGATCCTTCCCATTGCCTCTCTGTGAAATCACCCCTTATTAAATATATTTCTTATCTGAGCATCTTCTCTTACAGAAAAGGTTTTCTGATACTGAACATCAGGCTGATAACCTGTCAAAAGTGCAAGGAGAACTTGATGAACTTAGAGGAATCATGGTGAAAAATATTGGTAAGGGCTGCATGAAAGAGAAGAAGAAAAAACATTTTTTACTTTGTAGATTTTGATGAAATACCAAAATTTCTCCTGGTAAGTTTATGGTGCACACAGTGAACAAACCATTTGTGTCAGCCTACAGTTGTGAAGAAAACCTTGTCCTTATGGTAACCAAGTTTCTCAACATGGCAGTTTTACTTTTCGCAAAGAAAGTTTTTCAATTAACAAATTTAACAAGGGTTGATTCAAACTTTCTTTAAGAGAAAAAGATTTTAGGTTATGAGGACATGTGGACATGTTTCATTTTTATGTCAGAAATTGAAGTTGCTTTTCTTACAAATGATCTCTGCATTCTTTTGTTTTCTAAAATGTGTGTTAAGATCATCTTTGATTTAAATAAACACGAGAAAAATGTCCAAGGATATAGTGCTTATCCATGGGCAGTCAGTCATCTTAATACTGATAATATTTTCTTGATTTTGGAAACAGACACCATCGCACAAAGAGGAGAACGTTTGGAACTCTTGATTGATAAGGCAGAAGACCTTAATACCTCAGTGAGTTCTCAATAATTATTTAGTTAATTGCGCTGTAACATCATTGCTTGAATAAGTGTCCCATTTACTGATCTTCCTCTTTCCTAGTCCCTCACTTTCAAGAAATCAAGCAAAGGCCTGGCCAGAGCCATGTGGTGGAAGAATGTCAAAATTACTATAATACTTGTGGTTGTTATTATTGTAAGTATATGGAAGTTGATTCAGTATCAAAATTCTCCATACTTTTCTCTATATATTTCCTTTGGTAATGACAAGGAGAATTTCTTAAACAATGAAAGCTTCTTAGTTTGGTGATCATTTTCTTTAGTCTCATGATCTTAATGAATGATTCAGCAGCATTACTCTAAGGAGAAATTGGATGCTGGTCACTCTTAGTGCTCAACCCTTTAACTCCCAGATCAAATTTGTAGTTCTCCTTACTGTCAACCATGCAATTCTTATA